GGGGGGGGGGGACTCTTGATTTGTATTTTACACAGAATGAGACAGAAGTCTGGAGAGGGTTAGTCAGCACAGACATCCAAAACCTGCTCAGAGGTGTATCTATTAAACACAGTTCTTTGGGAACTCACAGTCTAAGGAGCAGGCAAGAAAGACCATCATATAATCAATAGAAACCATGGTTATCTCATTTCACTTACCAGACATTTTGTACATTGCTGAAAAGGTTTAGAGAGATCCAGAATCTCAGACAAGAAAAGACATTAGAGGGCTTTGAGTCCAGACTCCTTACTGCTCACTGTAGAAATGAGGAAAATGAGATGCAGAGAGAGAAGGAGACTTGCCCAAGGTCATAAGACTGGCTGATGGCCAGCTTGGGACCTCCAAGGGCCCAATGTTCTGTCCCCACATCTTAGAAAATAAAATACTTAAAGGTTGACTTATATTCCGATATAAAGCACTCCACATAGCTGTGGTTAGCTGGACTTTTTAGAGGCAATCCAAAGCATGCTAATCTACAGGTAAACTTTTTCAGTAATCCAGCCTTGCTAACAAAGGGAATAATAGATTTAACCTCACTGTGTGAACCTTCAAGGCCTTCTAATATTCACTGCTACAGGTGTGTTATCCTGTACTTGGTTTTCAGTGTAGACAGATCACCCTTTTGTTCGCTAAAACTGTTTTTTGCATGCCAAGAAGATAGAGACAAAACTAAAAAGAGGTTTTTCTTCAGCAAATGGAGTCACGGAATACGATCTATACCACCTTCTACAACCATTGGAAAGACAGAGAGTAGAATATTCTGAGGCTTCATAAAATTTAGGCTATAGTATAAGAGTGTAGAAGCCATATATAAGTTCATCTAATTGTGCTTCAGGTGAATTTAAGGGTTATTTTAGGTAGATAATTTTATAAAAATAAATACTCATTCCTTAGTTGTTATCTGTGTGAAATTTAGGATTTTAAAACCTTTTTATTTTCATTTAAGTAATCTCTGTACCCTACATGGGTCTCAAACTCACAACCCCAAGATCAAGAGTTGCATGCTCTTCTGACTGAGACAGCCAGGTGCTCCTGGGATTTTTTTTTTTTCTTTTTTCTAATTAGTCTTCATGTTCCACACAACCTTAACTAAAAATTGTTAGTTTCTGGGGCGCCTGGGTGGCGCAGTCGGTTAAGCGTCCGACTTCAGCCAGGTCACGATCTCGCGGTCCGTGAGTTCGAGCCCCATGTCAGGCTCTGGGCTGATGGCTCAGAGCCTGGAGCCTGTTTCCGATTCTGTGTCTCCCTCTCTCTCTGCTCCTCCCCCGTTCATGCTCTGTCTCTCTCTGTCCCAAAAATAAATAAACGTTGAAAAAAAAATTAAAAAAAAAAAATTGTTAGTTTCTGTGGCAAAATAATGGTCAGAAATTATATGGGTAGATTGGAAAATGGATTAGGTTGTGACAGGGAGACTTCCTGGAGGAAAAGCCCTGAATTTCAGAGTAAAATGGGATAGAAATAAGGTGTACAAGGCAGGAAAGGGAACTGACTACCTCTAGGTAAGTGAGTTATTATTTAATGTCTGGGTCTCAGTCGGCCATTATGTGCCTCCTTTTCTTTTGCCCCCTTGTCTCTAGGAATCCAGATTACATCCTGCACTGCAGTCCTGGCTGGCGGCTCCGACTTGCAGCTTCCTTCCTGCTCTCCGTCTTTCCACTGCTAGACCTCCTTCCAGTTGCTTTGCCACCAGGGGCAGGCCCAGGGCCAATAGGGCTGGAAGTGCTGGCAGGGGGCGTGGCAGCTGTGGCCTGGACCAGCCACTGCCTGGCCTTGTGGGTGTTGGTTCATTCCCCTCATGGCCACTCCCGGGGACCCTTGGCCTTGGCTCTGGCTGCCTTCCTGCCAGCCCCAGCCCTAGTGCTCACCCTGTTATGGCATTGCCAACGAGGCACACTTCTGCCCCCACTTCTCCCAGGACCCCTATCCCGCCTATGCCTTCTCATCCTGCAGCTGGCTGCACTCTTGGCCTATGGACTGGGCTGGGCAGTCCCCGGGGGACCACGGGAGCCCTGGGCCCAGGAGCCCCTCCTGTCCCAGGAACAGGAACCTGAGATAGCTGAAGATGGGGAGAGTTGGCTGTCACGCTTTTCCTATGCCTGGCTGACACCCTTGCTGTCCCGAGGGGCCCGTGGAGAGCTACGGCAGCCCCAGGACACTTGCCGCCTTCCACACAGGCTGCACCCCACCTACCTGGCTCGAGTCTTCCAAGCATGCTGGCAGGAAGGGGCCCAGCTGTGGAGGGCCCTGTATGGGGCCTTTGGGCAGCGCTACCTGGCACTTGGACTGCTAAAACTGGTGGGGACCATGCTGGGATTCTCGGGGCCCTTGCTGCTTTCCCTACTGGTGGGCTTCCTAGAGGAGGGGCAGGAGCCACTAAGCAATGGCCTGCTCTATGCCCTGGCGCTAGCTGGTGGGGCTGTCCTGGGTGCTGTGCTGCAGAATCAGTATGGGTACGAGATACGGAAGGTGACACTTCAGGCACGGGGGGCTGTGCTGAATATTCTGTACCGAAAGGTTTTACAGCTGGGGCCCAGACGCCCTCCTGCTGGGGAGGCCCTGAACCTGCTAGGTACCGACTCTGAGCGGCTACTCAACTTTGCTGGGAGCTTCCATGAGGCCTGGGGCCTGCCCCTGCAGCTGGCCATCACCCTCTACCTGCTGCACCACCAGGTGGGCGTGGCCTTCGTGGGTGGTCTGATCGTGGCACTGCTACTGGTCCCTGTCAACAAAGTGATTGCCACCCGCATCATGGCCAGCAACCGGGAGATGCTACAGCACAAGGATGCACGGGTTAAGGTGAGGGGCTACTTGGGGTCCCTCAGCAATCCGGAGACCCCGCCCAGCATCCTGGTCCCCAGGTCCTCCCATGCACAGTGCCTGAGGGCGTTAAGATCTCAGACTGCTAAGAGCTAGAAGTTAAGAGCTCAGACTAGAGAAAGACAGACATGGGTTCAAATCCCAAATCTACCACTTACTAGTTTCATCATCCCAGACAAGTTACTTAACCTCTTTGGGCCTCTGTTTCCTCCTCTAAGAAATGACCATAATTATATTAGGTAACACTGGGTACAGGGCAAGTCACAAAGTAAGCACTAAATGAACAGGACCCATTAGTAATACTATAGTATTAGCTTATACAGCAATCCTAGGAGGTAGGAAGTAGCCTGTCTGGACCAAATGGGTTTTTAGTATTAGTGCTAGGACCCGAGCCTCCTGCCTCCTCATCTAATGGCACAGACCATCCCGTAGCCATAGTACAGAGGCCTGGGAGAACCCCAGCTACCTCTAAGGGGTGGGTTGTGGGGGAGGGAGTAGGTCAGTCTTCGGTCTAGACCAACGCTAGGTGAGGAGGGTCTGGCTAAGTCAATTCTGGGTTCTGCAGTGACTGAGGGATGGCAGGCCTGGAGCTCCACACAGCATAGTTATCAGCCTCTTCTGGGAGTAGCTCAGAGTGCTAACAGGGAGGAGGACTCTCATAGTTGGTTATGGCCCAGGGCCTCTTCCCTTACCCATGACAGCTACAGACTAGATCTCCAGAACCATCTGGGAAGACTCCCAGTGCCAACCTGGCTTGCAGGCTGGGGATGTGTGAGTGTTGGGATCCAAAGAGTTTATCTGGCCCTTGCCCGTCTTGCCTGGGCTCGTTGGCCTGTCTGACCCTGGGTTTTGTTGTGGCCTCTTACACCTGTATACTCTAGCCATGGGCCATACTGGTGACTAGCTCCTGAAACCATCTTCTTCTGGCTTTGGGAAGTAGTCTTAGTCCCTCATCTCATGGAAGGAGTGCTTTTACCCCAGTGTGGTAACACCCCTGTAGTTTCTATCACTTCATCTCCTAGGAAGGTGGGGGGGATTCCAACTCTGACTTGTTCCCTGCTGGAGCACACATGGAGGAGAAGTAAAAGACTGGCAGGGGAAGCAACTCGGGGCTGAAAGGGATTTGAAGGCAGGGTTTCAAGTTAGGGCTGAGGTGGGAAGAAAACCAGGGCTAGGAAGTACAGAGTATCTGGGAGCTTGGAGTACTTGGCCTCCTCTGTTAGGAGCTTGGGGAAGACTGGGTAGAGGAGAATGGACACACATGAGCAGTATTTCCACTTCACACTGCCCTCTGGTCTCTATCCCTAGCTCATGACAGAGCTGCTGAGTGGCATTCGAGTCATCAAGTTCTTCAGGTGGGAGCAGGCCCTAGGGGCCCGAGTAGAGGCCTGTCGAGCTAGAGAACTGGGGCGACTCAGGGTCATCAAATACCTGGATGCAGCCTGTGTGTACCTGTGGGCTGCCCTGCCGGTTGTCATCTCCATCGTCCTCTTCATCACCTATGTTCTCATGGGGCACCAGCTCACTGCCACCAAGGTGAGGACCAGGAGAGGAGGGGATGGCTGTAGCAAAGCGTGGAGAGAGGCAGTAGCCAGAGACTGCGATGGAGTTGGGAGGTGGGCTCAGACCCTCGGGACTACTGGGAAGGAGGATCCCTGGCTGCCTTACCCTTTCCTAACCAAGCGGGAATTCTCTGAAGTTTCTGGGGTCTCAGATCTATAACCCTTTCTCCTCTGTGAAGGCATTCCTTTTTTTTCCTCTCTTCCTTAGGCCCAGTCTTCAGGCCTAAGTCTCCATGTTAGGTCTCCTGATCCCCATTCTGATAGCCTTGGGCAAAAAAGGTCCATGATGTAGTGCTGGCTCTGGCCAGGGCCAGATGATGTCTGTCCTTAGAAATTCTGAGAGGGTCTCAGAATGCGCCAGGCCTCTGTGCTTATTGAGGTGCTACCTGGATCCCTGGAGGAACATCTGGGATTTCTAGGATTCTGAAGTGACTACCTTTGCCATCTCTGACCCAAGGATTTTCTAGCCAACCCCTCAGTTCTGCTGCTGCTGCCCTGTTCTTCCCTCCACACACCTGTCCACAAGGCCACCCATAGAGCAGGCCTTCAGATAGCTCCTGGGCTTCAGGTGATGCTTCATCCCCTTTCTATCCTACTTAGGTGTTCACAGCATTGGCACTGGTGCGCATGCTCATTCTTCCCCTCAACAGCTTCCCTTGGGTGATTAATGGCCTCCTGGAGGCCAAAGTGTCCTTGGACCGGATTCAGCGTTTCCTTGACCTTCCCAACCAGAACCCCCAAGCCTACTATAGCTCAGGTAATGGGAAGCTAAAGGGAAGAACCTGGCACAGGGTGAGGAGGGAACTGTAGCCCCGAGGATGCTGTACATAGGTGCTGGCAAGAAGAGCCAGAGGCAGCAGAACCCAGGCAGAGCAAGTGGCCATTTCCTGCGGGAGAATCCTCAGACCAAGATAGGCTGAATTAGCACTGGGCAGGTAGATACAAGACAAGCAAGCCAATGACACACTCCTGGTTTACCTCCCCAAGTAGGTAGATTGTGCATTAGAATCCCAAGTTGAGTGCCTTTTTCCCTGTTTAGATCCCCCCACAGCACCATCTACGGTGTTGGAGCTGCATGAAGCCCTGTTCTCCTGGGACCCAGTTGGAACGAGCCAGGAGACCTTCATCAGTCACCTCGAAGTGAAGAAGGTTTGTTGGTTAGACAACCTAGGGGAGTCCCCAGATGAATGAGAGAGATGCGGACTCAGTGACAGATAAGCAAGGATGGTGCCAACCGTAGCTAGGTGGCCTACGTCTCTAATCACTGAGGGAAAGACTGGAGGGGCTGTGGTGAGCAGGTCTACACTTATCTCTGACCACCCTCCCATTAACACAGCTTTGTCAGAGTTGTCCACTCTCTCCCTGGTCTTTAGACAGGTATATCCTCCTAGTGCAGGCCAACAAGTATGTCTGTCTCTCCATTGTCCCTCAGAGGCCAGCAAGTTGAGAACAGACCCCAGAGCTTATTCAGCATCTGCCCCAGGCTGGGACCAGGGGAGAGGCCCAAGAGTCTCTTCTGAGAAGGATTTTGCAAAGAGGGTAGATAATCCTCTATTTAGCCTGGTGAAAAGGAATCACACCTTGTGACTCACACCATAGCATACACCCTCAGACAAACACTTGAAAGAATATTCCTGGCAGGACAGTGACTTCTGTTTACCCAGCTTCTGAGTTTTCACTCTTTTCTGACCCCTATCCAACCCTTTGCCCCACAGCTCAACCCAGCATTCTCTAGTCTCTACCACATTTGGCTCACATTTCTGGCATGGGCTGTATATTTTGTTTTTCTTAGTTCAGGCAAGACAAGGCTGGAATTTTTCAAAGGAATTTTACTAATGTGTCGGTTGGGGCTTTTTGGATATAAGTCATAGAAACAGGAGCTAGCTTAAGCAAACAGGAATTTATAATGAGGATATAAAGATGAATTGCAGAATCCAAGGGCATGCATGCAGCTGGATCTCAGCAGCAACCCAGAACCAGGACTCAACTCCTAGAACTTTCCTTCTGTCTACTTCTCTCATCTGCCTCCTGCTTCTCTCAGTGGACTTGCTCTCCACTGAGCAGAAGATGTGACTGCAGACAGCCCTCCCACTTACAGGCTAAGCCAGAAAAAGGGAGAATTCCCAGGGGAGGGTCTCAGCTTGGTCTGGTGGCCACTCAGAGACGGGTCAATACTGGCTGACAGATTGGGGGCATTATAGAGCTTCTGAGAGCTCTACTTCTTTCTTAAAAAGAGGGATTTTTTTTTCCTTTTTGTGTAGGGAGATAGCCCCATGAATGTATGTTACCACTAAGAAATGAAGGGAGAACAGAAAATTTGAAACTGTAAATCACAGAAATGGGCATCTGTGCAAAGTACTGCCTTTTACTCTGAGATAGCAGAAGTCTAGCCACAGGTGGACATAGTTAGCCCAGCATCCAGGCCCCAAAGCCTGGAGTCCCTCCCCTCCCCTCTCCTTCTGGGCTCCCTACCTTGACCTTTCCTGGGAAATTCTGGGCAGATTTCCACCCATTCTCTCTAGCATACTCTCTGGCTTCTCTCCAGAGGCCCTTCACACAGACAGTGAAACTGATCGCTCCTCTGAGTGGGGAGTAAAGCACTATACTTCTCTAGGTGCTGCACAGTGTCTCTGAGGCATAGCTCAGCCTGAGGGCTGGAACATTCTTTCCTTACAGACTAGTGGGGGCCCAGAGAGAACCCTCTGTGGAATGTTTGGCAGCCCAGGGCCTCAGGAGGGAGACCTGATACTTACTGTCTGGCTTCCTTGCAGGGTGCCTTGGTGGGCATCGTGGGGAAGGTGGGCTGTGGGAAGAGCTCGTTGCTGGCCGCCATTGCTGGGGAGCTCCACAGGTGAGCAACCTCTAGTGTCCCGCTGTCCTCAGCTTTGACCTTCAGCAGACACTTGCCTAGTCCCTGCCATGTGGTGGACACCATTTTAGGGTCCAGAGATGCCAAGAACAAGACATTGTCCCTTTCTTGGGAGAGTTTTCAGTCTGGAAAGGGAAAGGCAGTCAAGAAAGTGAGTTATAATCATCACACCAACGTGTTGCAAGTGGTATAATAGTGAGTGAAGAAATAAATGGAAACATCCTGCGTCAGCCGCTATTTCAGAAAATGTGGTTATGCAGGGAGGGATCCAGAGAGGAGCAGAAGTATGAAAGAAGGGCTTTTGTCATGAGAACGAGTGAGTGCAGGGTGGTGGCCATGCTCTCCTCTGAGCTTCTGAGCACATCCAGATCTGACAGCTGCTTGGCTGTACCCAAAGAGCAATTTCTTCCCTTCCCAGACCAGAATGACCCCCCTCCCCCAGCCTCATTAGGACGCCTCAACCTCAGTGGCTGCCAATTCAGAGACCCATGTGACATGAAGGGGGACCTGATGTAGAAGTCTAGAGACTTCTAGACTGATGGCAGTCTAAAGAAGCTTCTGGGGGGCAGGGGCTGGGTATGGAGGGACCCAGTGGGAGCTGGCTCCCCATGCTGCTGGCCCTGCTCTATGCAGGCTGCATGGACGGGTGGCAGTGTGGGGGCTGTCCAAAGGCTTTGGCCTGGCGACCCAGGAACCGTGGATCCAGTTTGCCACCATCCGGGACAACATTCTCTTTGGGAAGACATTTGATGCCCAGCTGTACCAGAAAGTGCTAGAAGCCTGCGCCCTCAGTGATGACCTCAGTGTGAGTGCCTGGCCCTGAAACCTCCTGGCTACCTGTTCCCCCATGTCCCTGATACCTCAAGTCAGAGACTTGCTTCTCTGGGAAGGGGTTGCTTTTACTCAAGCACCATTAACCAAAGACTGGCTGTTAGGTTTGGTCCTCCCAGAGTGTCCAGCTGCGTGGTTCCCCCTTCTGTGTAGGACCCAGAGCTGTGGTAGTGATGGGGTGTTCCACACAGCCACTAAGGGAACCCTGAGGCCTCTGAGGCTAGGGGAGGGTTCCCTCTCAGGCTTCGCCCTACATAGGTTTGGTTCTGATTCAAGAGGCTCCCCCACCTCCCACTTAGAGAGAGGCTTAAGAGAGTCAAGAGAGTCAAGGTTACTCTGGGCAAGTCCATTATATCCCCTATATCCTATGTACTAAATTTAGAGGGATGAGATTCCAGATTTCTCCTGTGACTTTCCCACTCAATCCCATGTTCCCTGTAGGACTATTATCACCACTACCCTGTCCAGGTAAATGTGGAACTTCCCTGGAAAAGAGGACCTTTAACATTGACCATGGGGTATCCTATGCCCATGTATCATTTATTTCTTTTTCCCTTTTTTTTTTTTTTTTAGTTCATTTATTTATTTTGAGGGAGGGGAGGGACAGAGAGAGAGAGGGTGAGAGAGAATTCCAAGCAGCCTCTACATTTTCAGCACAGAGCCCGACTCGGGGCTCAATCTCATGAACCATAATATGGTGACCCGAGCTGAGATCAAAAGGCAGATGCTAAACGCACTAAGCCATCCAGGTGCCTCATATCATTTGTTTCTACATCAAGCATTTCTCAGATGTCTGCTGGGTACTGGGAACTGTTCTAGGCACTAAGAAAAAAGATGAATTACAAAGCTGTTCCCTCAGAAGGAAAAGCTGTCTGGTAGACCACAGGTGCTTCCTCTGGTATGCATACCCCTTAGCTAAGGGGACCACTCCTGAGGCTACAGGAAGACTTGGGGTACATTCCTTCTCATTCCTTCTGGAAAAACCTATGAAAGCTATCACACTGATTTTGCCCATCATCATCCTTGCCTGTTAAAAAGGCAAGGTAGTGAGTGGGACAGGGTGGTTAAAAATCTATATTCATGTCCTACTACTTACGAGCTGTGGAACAACCTTGGGCAAGGTAGTTACTCTGAACTTTGGTCTCATCTGTGAGAGACAAAAATACCAACTTCATGAGGTCGTGGGGATTGGATTATTGGAATTATGGGTTATCCCCTGTGGCTTGCTCACCCAAATTCAAGTCTCCTCAAGCTCCCTGGCTCTCTTGACCCCCTCTACCTCTTCCCTGCAAAGAGATGGAGTAGAAGGTATTGGGGAGCCCACTGACCAGTGCTGGGGGGCCTTTTCTGTCAGATCCTGCCTGCTGGGGACCAGACAGAGGTGGGGGAGAAGGGTGTGACCCTCAGCGGGGGACAGCGGGCCCGGATTGCCCTTGCTCGTGCTGTCTACCAGGTAAATTAAAGATAGGGGAGTCTGCAGCCTTGGAGGGAGGGGGGGTGGAGATATTTTCATTAGCATCTGGTTTCTTTCTTCCTTACTTAATGTGCCTGAGGTGTTGGGCCCTTGGCCACCCCATCCCCCTTTTGCAGATTGAAGGCAGAATTAAAGGCTCTTTAAAAAGCATTGTGTAATTTGAATTGCTGGGACCCAGCAAAGCTGAGCACAGGCCTTGCTTGACTGGAGGGAAGTTCACCCTCAGCTCTTACCTCCTTCTCTTATGCTCTAAGGGTAACCCCTAGGGTTCCTCTCAATTGTCTTCTCTACCTCAAGATTGTGTCCTAGGAGAGGTCTGGGTTCTAACCAGAGGACCTGGACTTGGTGCCCATTGTGCCCCTACCTCTCCCTAGGAAAAGGACCTCTATCTCCTCGATGACCCTCTGGCTGCTGTGGATACAGATGTGGCCAACCACCTGCTGCATCGGTGCATCCTGGGAGTGCTGGGCCACACCACAAGGCTGCTGTGCACCCACCGCATCGAGTACCTGGAGAGGGCGGATGTGGTGCTGCTGATGGAGGCCGGGCGCCTCGTACAAGCCGGTAATGTGGGCCACAAGGGTGGGAGCCCACCCAAGGAAGAGAGCCGTCTGCCCAGGTGTAACAGGGGCAGGTGGACTGTCACATGTAGACTCTGCCACCTCCTCCGTGTGTGGCCTGGGCCCCTGTCATCCTTCTGTCTCATGAAAGACCCTGTCCTGCCTTCACAGAACTGGTGGGAGGCAAGAGAGGAAGAGAGAAAGGAGCACGCTGGTGCAATGCCAGTGGATTTGGGACTTGGGCTGTGTAACTGGGTGCTTTGGGAACACAGAGGCCCAGGATCTCTGAGAACACTCTTGTCCTTTGAGAAGAGAAAGCAATCAGGTTTAGAATAGTCTTTTTATTAAAAATACAAACAAACAAAAATCAACAAAAACCCCACCTCTGATGGATTATTATCCAGCGGGACATGACTGTCTGCAAGTTCACTAGGAGAGAAACAGGAGGAAATGAGGCTCCACCAGAGTTTTAAAAATTTCATGTGACATGAGGAGAAAGCTCTATAGTTAGGAGAGGTGACTCTGGAAGAGTGCTCATGGGTGGCTAGGACTGTCCTTCTGGGGGTGAACATTTTCTGTCTGCTGCTTGGACTGCAGACACAGAGAGATGGACTTGAGGGTCCTGCTCAGAGTCTGGGGGTCCAGGGCAGGGCCCTGCTAGGGAGGGTCAGGGAAGAGGTCCAAAGAGAACGGGAAGCGAATTGGCAGGTGCATTGAGAAGGGCAGAGTACATACCCAGGACAGCCCCATGCTGATCTCCCTGTTGCCTTCCAGGGCCTCCCTCTGAGATCTTGCCATTGGTGCAGGCTGTCCCCAAAGCCTGGGTTGAGGATGGACAAGAGTCTGACTCAGGTATGGCTCAGGGGTGAGGAAAGAGCTTGCCTGTCACCACCATACTGTAGAGCTACATTTTCCTCAAAGCTCCCCTGCCCGTCTGCAACCCTGAGGTTTAACTGTTGTCCTGCAGACATAACCCCCTATCCCCACCCCCCACCTCTCTGATCCTCACAGCCACAGCACAGTCTGGTCAGAACCTGGAGAAAACAAAGGCGGGGCTGGAAGTGGAGAGGAACATATGTGGCCGCCTGCTGCAGGAAGAAAGCAAGAAGGAGGGTGCTGTGGCCTTCCACGTGTACCAAGCATACTGGAGGGCCGTGGGCCAGGGCCTGGCCCTAGCTATCCTCCTCTCGTTGCTGCTCATGCAAGGTTGGAGTGAACCCCAGAGCCCCTCATCCCAGCACAGCCAAGGTCCCCATCACAGCCATCTCTTTGTCCGGATATTACAAAGCCCTGAGACTCACCAGGCAGGGGCAGCAGCTGAGAGAGTCCCAAGGGCGGAAGGGGTATACTCTGAGGCCATCTTCTGATTTGTACCACACCCCCCCATCCCCCAACTAGCCCTGACTCTGCAAATGCCAGATCATGCACTCCTCAGAGCTAAAGGGTGATAGGCACACTGAGGAGGACATGGGATAGTTGCAAGGTGAGGAGGGCCAGGGGGGTGAAGAAGAGTAGAAACCAGAGTCCAGGGCAGAGGAAGGGGGTGTTTGAAGGGAACAAAAGAATGGGTCTCACTTACAGCTTTTCCCTCCCAATCCTCACCCAGCCACAAGGAATGCTGCTGACTGGTGGCTCTCCCACTGGATCTCTCAGCTGAAGGCAGACAAGAATAGCTCCCAGGAGGCACCAGCCCCCAGCAGCCCGGGATCCATGGGGCTTCTCTCTGCCCAGCTGCTCCTCTTCTCCCCAGGAAGCCTCTAGTGAGTGGCTGGGGCTAGAGCAAGCCTGGCAGTCTCCCTGAGGTGTTGCCAGGCAGGGCTTCAAGTGAGGGGCACAATGTTCCAGGGGTGTGTCTTCTGGTGGGGAGAGCTGGCATGGGGGAGGGGAAGGGACACCTGGGGGGCCCTACTTTTGGTTACCCACAGCCCCCTCCTCACCACCCAGCACCTCAGTGTCCCCACTGCCGAAAGCTGCCCCAATGGCTCTTCAGACATCCGTTTCTACCTCCTGTATATGCGACCATTGCCGGCGTCAACTCCCTCTGCACCCTTCTCCGGGCAGTGCTTTTTGCAGCAGGCACCATCCGGCCCCGGCATGCACCCTGCATGCCGCCTGGAGTAGAGTCCTTATGGTGAGGAGGCGGGAGGAGGTGGCATGAGAGACCCTCTCAGTATCTAGGCTCCATTGAGATTTCCATCCTACCTCTGTCAGAAAGATGGCCCTCACAGGAGGTACAGCAACTCAGAAGGCCTGGAGAGCCTTCTACACCTGGAGAGCATCTACCTACATTCAGGCCAGTTACTTAAGCCTATAGCTTTCTCATCTGTAAAATGGGGAGAAGAGAATCTTTCTCAGAGTCACTTCTGTTCTGGACTTCAAGTGCAGAGGCCTGAGTTATTCATGGAACATAGGACACCCCTTAGATCATGAAAGATCCTTTTTTAATTTTTTTTATCTGCTCCCTGTTATCTGCATACCCTATTTCCATTTCTGTCCTTTCCTTGATAAGCAACCATTCTAAGTGTGGTTAGTTAGTATGTGTCTTTGTGGGATTTGAAAAAAAATTTTTTTTTAATTTTTTTTTTTTTCAACGTTTATTTATTTTTGGGATAGAGAGAGACAGAGCATGAGGGAGGGGCAGGAGAGAGAGGGAGACACAGAATCGAGCAGGCTCCAGGCTCTGAGCCATCAGCCCAGAGCGGGGCTTTCGAACTCACGGACGCGAGATCGCGTGACCTGGCTGAAGTGGGCGGCAACATTTCGCCACCGGGCGCCCGAAAAAATTTTTTTTAAATGTTTATTGGTTTTGAGAGAGAGAGAGAGAGAGAGCGAGAGAGAGAGCACGTGCATGGGGGAGGGATAGAGACAGCAAGAGAGAATCCCAAGCAGGCTCCAAGCTGTCAGCACAGAGCCCAATGTGGGGCTGGATCTCACAAACCCAGAGATAATAACCTGAGCTGCTATCAAGAGTCGAGAATCGGATGCTTAACCGACTAAGCCACCCAGGCGCCCCAGTATATATCTTTGTGTTTGTCTTTTTGCAAATGCGTATGTTTTGTGTGCCAGCATTTTTATAAATGACGATCCATTTCTTACAGTTTTTATTTAGGACTGTTTCTAAGATTGATCCCTGTTGCTATGTGTATATCTAGTCTGTTGCTGACCCTGTAGACTTACGAGGATTAAATTAGTACATGGAAAGTGCTTAGAATAGTGCCTGACACATACTACTCAATTAGTAATTATTGTTAATGATGTTGTTCTTGTTATAAAGCCCTTTCATGTCCGTTACCTGGGTCTCATAATAACCCTGTGAAGTAGGTACTGTTATCCCCATTTTGCAGGTGAGGAAACTGAGGTTCTGAGAGTGAAGTGACCTGGGCAAACCTAGTTCTGTGAAGAACCAGGCCGTGAACCGGGTACTACATAGGTCTTCCTGTTGCCTGTCAGGTAGTAGCTGCCCACTGTTCTGCCTCTCCTCCAGGAGCAGGGCATCTTCAGGCTGTGATAGAATTCCTTTCTTATAAACTGGCTTTAGGAGGTGCTTCTGAAAGTCCTTTGCCCTAGTCCCCTGCCCTAAGAGGATTGTTCCCCAAGTAAAGGCAGAGAGTTGGGGGGATGGAGAAGGTGAGGAAAGGGATGGGCTGTCTTTGAGACAGTCCCTCACAGTAGCCATCTAAACAGCTGGTGGTTGCTGAGCACTTACTCTAGGCCAGGCAGGCTGTGCTAAGCACCTGACTGCTGTATGTGGCTTTCAATCCTACCAGCAGCCTTGGGAGCTACCATTCTGTTATTATCCCTGTTTCTGAGATGAGAAACAGGGGCCTTTAAGAGATTAAGCTCCTTGCCTGGAGTCTCCCGGTTACATCTAGTAACTGGCAGGGCTGGAATCCGAATGCTTAGCCATGAGATAATACTGACTTTGACTGCTGTCCTTATCACTCTGTCCGCCCACGGGTAATCAGGATGTTCCTCCTGACATCTAACAATCTCACTCACTGGCCTGAAGTGCCCGTCTTCTAGCGAGAGACTGGCTCCCTGCCCTTGAAAGGGGAGTAGGTATGTCTTGCATGGAGGTAGAGGAATGGCCAGCATGGCCTGTTAGGGTCACCACTGGCCAGAGGGATGGGATAGTATCTTTCCCACCCTGGGGTAGTCTCCCTCCAAGCTCCACATGCCCCTCCTCTCTGCCCTCAAACTCTGGGAACATTTTCCTATTCTGTACTTTGGGCCTTTGTCCCCACCCCACCATCCCCCAGTGCTGTTCCCAACCCCTCTTCTGCCAGGCCCTGCCTTTGTGCAACCACACCCCCTCTCCCAGGCGCCAGTGACTTTCTTCGAGTCCACACCCGCGGGCCGGGTCCTAAATCGCTTCTCCTCCGACGTGGCCTGTGCAGATGACAGCCTTCCCTTCATGCTCAACATCCTGCTGGCCAACGCAGTAGGCCTGCTGGGCCTCCTGGCTGTGCTGGGCTCCGGCCTGCCCTGGCTGCTACTGCTGCTGCCACCTTTGAGCATCATCTACTACCGCGTGCAGCGCCACTACAGGGCCTCGTCCCGGGAGCTGCGGCGCCTGAGCAGCCTCACGCTGTCTCCCCTCTACACCCACCTGGCCGACACCTTGGCTGGCCTCGCAGTGCTCCGGGCCGCCGGGGCCACTCACAGGTGTATGAAGTCTGCCTCTCCCAGCCACGGGGAGTGGGGGAGGGATGAGGTGCCAAAGGAGGGGAGAAGGACCCCTGAGAAGAAGGGCACGTGGGTGCGGTGCCCTAGGGGAAAGAGGAAGGAAACAGAATAAAGGGATAGTGAGGCCAAACACTGGCCCCTCTATACCCCTGAGGAGAGAACTGTGGGTGTGTAGATCAGCTCCAAGAAAGACGTGTTTCGGGGAAGAAGTCTGGATGGGTCAGTGCAACAATGGAGTGGCCTTGCTTCCCTCCTGGCCTTCACCAGGTTTGAAGAGGAGAACCAGAGACTCCTGGAGCTAAACCAGAGGTGCCAGTTTGCTGCCAGTGCTGCAATGCAGTGGCTGGACATTCGGCTGCAGCTCATGGGGGCCACAGTGGTCAGTGCCATCGCGGGCATCGCCCTGGTGCAGCACCAGCAGGGCCTCGCCAACCCAGGTGCCACCTCTCCCCTCAGAAGCATGTTGTCCCCTCACTCCAGACCTCTCCCCACCAACATTTCACCTCCCACCCAGGGGTCCTGGGAGGAGTGTTGTGATTCTCATTGCCTGAATTGTAGAGTTGAGGAAACTAAGTCCTAGGGAGAAACTCGCCCAGGTGGTGGTGGGTCTGGGACTAGAACTGAGTCTTCTAATCTTCACCCCTTTCCTGCTCTTCCCCATCCCCAGCACTCTGTCAGGCCCGTCTTCCATGGTCTTCCCTTGCAGCCTCTCCAGGCCCATTGTGTTCCCTTGTGGCCAGCCTCCTGTGGTTCCTATCTAGGTCTTGGTGTCTTTCTGCTTCTCTGCTGGCTTCCTTTACATGCCCACAGTCCATGGTTTGAAATTCTCCTGTTCTGCCCCACCCCTGCTCCACATGCACCCCCGTGTGTAGGCATCCCTTAGTGGCTTGTGCTCCTCTCCCCTAGGACTGGTGGGCCTGTCACTATCTTACGCACTTTCCCTGACGGGCCTGCTCTCGGGCCTGGTGAGCAGCTTCACGCAGACAGAAACCATGCTGGTGAGCGTCGAGCGACTGGAGGAGTACTCCTGTGACCTACCCCAAGAGCCCCAGGGCCAGCTGCCACGGGTAGGCCTGCACCCCCGCCCCAGGCCTGGGCACTGGAACCCCGGAGGACCCTCCTACCCTCCTGACATGCCCCATCTCTCCCCCACTTCCTTTCCTTTCGCTCCTCACTGTCTTTCTCAGCTCCTCTCACGTCCCCATGTGATCCCCCATTCTTCACAGCTTCCCTCATCTTTGTGCCCTCATCGAGAGGGCCCCATCTCTGTGGCATGCGCCCTTTCCTCTCACACCAACCCTTTCTCTTTATTCTTCTCTCCACTCTCCATTGCCCCTCCTCCTCCTGATTTCTTCCACCTCACCTGTCTCCCTCTCTCTCCCACCCACGGACCTACCAGCTGGGCATTGGCTGGCTGACCCAGGGGAGCGTGGAGTTCCAGGATGTGGTGTTGGTGTACCGGCCAGGGCTGCCCAATGCCTTGGATGGGGTGACCTTCCGCGTGCAGCCTGGAGAGAAGCTGGGCATCGTGGGCCGCACGGGCTCTGGCAAGTCTTCCCTGTTGTTGGTGCTCTTCCGGCTGCTGGAACCTAGTTCGGGGCGAGTGCTGCTGGACGGTGTGGACACCAGCCAGCTGGAGCTGGCCGAGCTCAGGTCTGGGGGAGAGAGAAGAAGGGAACCAGACTACTGGCACTGGGAGGAAGGTCCAGCTAGGAAGGCTATATATCAGTTCGGGGCAGCCAGGGCCAATCAGGGGCGGGATGGAGCATAGGACAAGGAGGTGAGGATGGTGAGCTCCCGGTGATCAGGTCCAGACTCATAGCTGTGGTCTCAAGGTCTGCAGTCTGACCGACCCAGGCCCACCTTTCCAGCTTCACCTTCTATTTCCCAGCACATAGCCTCTGGTTGAGACCCACCAGTCTGTGCCTCCTGAACCCGAGCCTACCAAGGGCAGTGCCCCATACTGATGCCCTCAGCTCTGATGCTCAGCAGGCGGTGCTTGGGACAGCTCGAGACCTGGGCCAGTTGCCCCTAGCCACAAGTGGCCTCTTCTGGGGCTAATCATCTCCTTACCCCCAATCTCCAGGTTTACCTAGTATCATTTTTGCTGGGTTTCATGGTATGCACGAGGTAGGGCAGCTCTGTCTTCTAAAGTCCAATACTGATCCCAAGGCCTGGCTCTGCTCTTCCTGTCTTCTTTTTTATTTTTTTTAAATTTTAAAAAAAATGTTTATTATTTCTGAGAGAGAGGGAGACACAGAACCCAAAGCAGGCTCTAGGCTCTGAGCTGTCAGCACAGAGCCCAACATGGGGCTTGAACCCACGAACTGCAAGATCATGACCTGAGTTGAAGTCAGACACTTAACCGCCTGAGCCACCCAGGCACCCCTCTTCCTGTCTTCTCTTACCTGTGGTGGCCTTATCTTATAGCTCCACCATATAGCTCCTCAGGACCCAATTCCAGGCCCACCTCCAACCTTGAAGTGTCCCCTACCCATTCACACTCTGGTCATTCCTTGCCACTGCTGCCCCAGTGGCTGCTGGAGTCAGGCCCACACAATTTATCTCACTCCTGCTCTCCGTGTCTTGTACCTCAGTGAGATGTAAGTTCCTTAAGGATAGAGTCAAGGCCTTGGATGTCTTTGATATTCCTCTTGGTACTGGCACAGATCTAAGTATGTGGCTGGCCAACTCGGGACCAGAGTGGGAGTTATGTTCGGGTCTTGCCCCAAACTTTCCCAGAAGGGCTAGCTAAAATCCTGTGCTAGGAACAGAAGTGGCCACATCTCTAGTCAGGACTCCATGTCCTGTCCCCACCTTATCCCCCAGATCCCAGCTGGCTGTCATCCCCCAGGAACCCTTTTTGTTCAGTGGGACTGTTCGGGAAAACCTGGACCCCCAGGGCCTGCATGAGGATAGGGCCCTGTGGCAGGCCCTGGAGCAGTGCCACCTGAGTGAGGTGATCATGTCCATTGGTGAGTACTAGGTCCTACCCTGTGGTGGCAGGAAGGAGCAAGGAGGGAGCAGGATGAGGCCCGGGACCTGGGAGTGAGGATGCTGTGCCTTGCAGGTGGTTTGGATGGTGAGCTGGGTGAGGGAGGCCGGAGCTTATCCCTGGGGCAGAGGCAGTTGCTGTGTCTGGCCAGGGCTCTCCTCACGGATGCCAAGGTAAGGCAATAGGAGGAGATAATTAAGAGGGCCCAGAAGAAGGGAGGGGACAGTCAGGGTGAGGAAGTGAGCTGGGGAGAGGTTTTGAGAGACTAAGACAGCTTTCCTTTTAGAGCTCGAGGTGGGGGATCTGTAGGCTGGGCTGGGCTGGACCTGGCCAGGAGGGATGGTGCTTAGGTCGGAGCCAAGGCTAAGCCTCTTCCTCCCTTTCCTCCCCAACCCTCCCCACATGTTCCAGATCCTGTGTATTGATGAGGCCACAGCAAGTGTGGACCAGAAGACAGACCAACTGCTCCAGCAGACCATCTGCAAACGCTTTGCCGACAAGACAGTGCTGACCATTGCCCACAGGTGTGCCCGCATCCAGAGTGAGAATCTAATCAGGGACTATGGTGACATGAACCCAGAGCCTCCCTTCCTTTCAGGGACCCCAGGGCTCAGGGCTCTGGAGATTCCAATCCCTCGTGAATCTCAGCTCCTCGTTCTCCAGGCCCTTTATATAGTAACACATTGTCCAAGGGTATCTCCAGCCAGGAGCTAACACCTGTGGGGCAGACCTGTGCTGTCCAGGGGACGACAGGAGGGACAAGCAGCTCAGCTTTCTTCTTTAGGGCCTTGTCCTCCACTCCCCACTGACCACCTTCTCCCGTACAGGCTCAACACGATCCTGAACTCTGACCGGGTGCTGGTGCTACAAGCGGGGAGGGTCGTGGAGCTGGACTCCCCTGCCGCCCTGCGCAGCCAGCCCCACTCACTGTTCCAGCAGCTGCTACAGAGCAGCCACCAGGGATCCCGCTCCTCTCCCTGAGGGCCCTGAGCCTGACCCCCCGTCCCACAGTCTTATCCTGAGCAGGTACAGAGGTGCTGGCTTGCACCTTGCTTACGTTCTCCTTTGTGGCTCTACCTCTCCCTCATTTCTCAGAGGGGAAAAGGGGACCCTGGGTTCTCCTTTGGAAACTGTGCTTTCTTGGGGAACATAGTCCTGAGGCTTCCCCAGAGCCAGGCCTCTGCTCTGGCCATCTTGCAGCTGGGATTCCAGGCAGGTTTTTCTGGCAAAGGAGCCCACGTGCACTTTCAGAGTTTTATTTGATAAAATTTCCATCTTACAGTCTATGTATTAAAAAAATAATATTTCTGGTGTGAGGCTGAGGTCCCTCAGTGTGTGTACCCCAGGAGAGGGGTGGCGAGAAAGGGCTACTCCAGTCTGAGAAGCCAAGGAGGTGAAGGTGGGGGCCGGAAAGCCCCCACCTCCATCACAGTGCTGTGGTCTTTCCAGGCTCAGGGGGCAAGTCAGGAGACAGGGAGAGCCCTGCTGGCAGCATGCTAACCTGACACTCTTGATCCTGGCGTGCTGGAGCATAGTGTGGGGCAGGGAAGCAGCAGGGTCCAGGGGGGCAGACACCCCGGCGCCAGGCCCTCAGGGTCAGCAACATTGTGGACAGGACCAGAGCAGCAGTGAGGGCCCCAAATACCACCACGGCCACCAGGCTAGCTGCACCTAGCCCAGCCTCTTGCCTCCGCACCACCTCCTTCACTGAGATGCGCAGCAGACCTGCCCCCACACTGTAGGGGACAGGCCCTGTGGCAGGTACCGCCACAGCTGAGGTGGGCCCCAGGGGTATGTCCACTGTGGTGGCAGGATCTGGGACTGGTAAGATGAGCTCACAAGTCTTGCCGCCATAGCCACTGGGGCAGAGACAGTCAAAGTCATGGACACGGTCCCGACAGCGGGCCCCTCTCTGGCATGGGCGGCTGGCACAGTCATCCAGGTTGATGGTGCAGAAACGTCCAGCAAAGCCCTCAGGGCAGAGGCAGGAGAAGCGGTTTATGCCGTCCAGGCAGGTGGCGCCATTGGCACAAGGCCGCATCAGACAGTCGTCTACATTGACCTCACAGCGGGCACCCACGAAGCCGGCCAAACAGCGGCAGGTGAAGTTGAGGGCAAAGCCCTGGTCGTCCTGGCACTGCCCACCGTTCCGGCATGGAGAGCTGCAGTGGGGGTGAAAGACGCTACTGATGCCAACTTGGCACCTGCAGGGTAGCCCAGGTCAGCATCCTGACCACCGCCACCCTTCTACCCCCTTTCTAGCTATGTCCCCTTGAGCCACTGTCTCCGAGCCTTGAACGCCTCATTCTAAAAATGAGAATAAGGGGGCTTCTGGCTGGCTCAGGTGGTAGAACATGCAGCTCTTGATCTTGGGGTTGTGAGTTCAAGTGCCACATTGGGCGTAGAGATTACTTAAAATCTTTTTTAGAAAATGAGAATAGTACCCAGCTTCCCAAACTGTGAGAGTTAAATGAGATAATCCAATGTCAAACAAAGGCCAGGCTCAAGGCAAGTGTGCTATTATTATCCTCATAAGCTCTCAGGCCTGAGGCAGAAATGAGGACAAGTCCAGCCCTGCAGCCCCATTTCTTCATTCACAGTGAGGCACAAGGCTGCTGTGTGCAACATCTTTAGGGGCTGTGTGCCAGCTTTCCCGAGGTAAAGTCCTACGTCCTCAACCTCCCCACACCCACCTTCCCCACCAGAGCAGTCACACATTGATGAGTTACACCTCCAGCTCCTACAGGTTTTTGTTGTTGGGGAAATGGTTCCGATGGTACCCGAAAAGTTGAGAAACTCTGAACTGGGGACACTTTGGCAGACTGGGGTTTTATCCTCAGGTGCCCCCATGTGGGACTTCTCCTCAGCCCTAATACTTCACCACCACTCTCTCTACAGTCCTGCTTCTTCTCTGTCACCAGACTGTCCCTTAACCTCCCACTCACCCCCAGGCCAGCACTCACCCTGCCTGTTCACAGGGTCCAGCCTTGCGCTCACAGTCATGCCCATGGAAGCCTGGTGGGCACACACAGTGGTACTCGCCGCCCCCATCATAGACACACTGGCCTCCATTCCGGCAGGGGGTCTGTGTGGTACAGATGTGCTCGTCTGGAGAGAGACCGGGAAGGCTCTGGGATAGCCCCTCATCTGGCACCCAGACCTGCCCAGGCCCCACCCAAAACTCTGTGGGCGTGACTTGCACTACAAACCCACCCAGAGCTTGTATGGTGCGGTGTGGGGAAACAACACTGAATCGGACTCTGGAGGCTCCTAGCGCTAGCACTGTCAACCTGTCTCAAAGTGATGGGGCAAGTTGTATCATCCATGGGCCTCAGTTTCCTCATTTGTAAAATGTGAGTATATTTTCAGCAGCTGCCTGGCTCACCTCACAGGATTATGTTGAGGCCCAATTTAGGCAACAGGTATAAAGTCTAAAATGATAAAATACCATGTATTTGAGGGTTTGAGCCAGACACAATAGGTATTAAATCTGGATGGATTTTTTCCTAAAACACACAGGGTCCCCAGCCCAACAACTAACCTCTCTACTCCCCTACCTTTGTCACAGAATTTGCCCGCCCAGCCACTGTGACAGATGCACTGCCAGGGCTGGTGGCAGGTACCGTGCTGGCAGCCAGGCATCCTCACACAGCGCTCACAGTGCAGCCCCTCCCAGCCTGGGTCACACCTGATGGGGAGAAGCACAGGAGCAGGGCTCTGGGTAGGGGAATCTGAGGAAATGGATGAGGGAGGACCAGATCTTCTAGAAAACAGGACCTATGAGAGCCCCTAAAGGGAAAGCAGGCCTATCCCAGGTAGGCATAGGGTTCTACAGGGTCAGAGGACATACATATGGAATCAGACCATCAGACGCCAGCATGCAAGTCCTTGTTCTGCACTTTGTCTAACCTTTTTGGGCCTCAGTGTTCTCATCTGTAAACTGGAGATATGCTTGGCAGGGATGGGTTGACGAAGAAATTAAGATATTTGTAAATAACCCCAGTGCCATTCCTAGCATGTCTGAGGTGCTCAGAAATGGTTTAAAAAGAGTGACCTTGAAAGGTCATCAGGACTATCCTCCCATCCTAATTTCAGGACAAAGGTCTGAACTATTTCAGAGTGTCCCAAACACTGCCAGCCCCTCCGGCCCCTTGCTCTGTCAGCTCATTTCCTTATGTGCACTTTTCTCCTACTACAGACTTTGCCCATCCCCCACTCCAGTGAGTCAATTACTCAAATGCATCAAGAAAGATCCTCTTTCCTGAGTGCTTCTCCACAGCAACCCTTCCGCAGCTTTTCTCAGACTAAACCCATTCTCTTTATATCATTATCTCCCCCCTTTCCTCATGGGCCCCGATCTCCAAACTCTCTCAAGCTTCAGGTCTTCCTCCTGGTATCTTGAGGAGGAACATTTCAGAATGCTTGGATCAGCCTTGGGAGGGTAAAAAAGTGGGGAGGCATAAGCGAGAAGCAGCATTAAGAGAGGCAAAGCAGAGAACTGGGGGTAAAGGAGAGGCTGACTAGTCTGTCCTGTGGCCATGAGGGAATAGGGAGTGAACAGCAGGATTCTAAGCCCCTAGACATTCTGCCATGGGGCTTGACCTGGTTGTGGGTGTGGACCTGCTGGGAAACGGGGAACAAGGGGGTTTGGGAGCACGTGTTCGAGAGAGCTACCTGCAGGAGCCGTCAGGCGCGCAGCAGCCGTGGGCCAAGTCACAGTGGGAGCTGCAGTCATCGGCTGCAAGAGATTGACGTAGGACGGGTGAGACCGGGTTAGGGTTCGTCTCCCTGAGATGCGGGGCTTGGAGGACGAGGGGTCTCAGTAATTGGGGTGCTCCCCTTTGGGCTCAGGCAGAACAGAGACTCCTCGAATTGCAACGGGACTACCTGGGTCTCGCCAACCCCGCGGGTCGAGCGGCTGCAGTGCCGTCTCTGGCCGGCAGAGGTCAACGCGCAAGCGAGGGATGGCCGGGCAGGGCCGCGACCTGAGTCCGGGGGCGCGCTCACCTCGGGCAGGCTGAACGGGTGCCCCCAGGATGCACAACAGGCACACGAGATGTAGGCAGCGGCAGCCGCTGGGCATGGTCAGCGCCGGC